ATATATATATATATATATATATATATATATATATATATTTATGTATAATTATTCTTTCGATATGTATTTTATTTCCAGAATCCATGTCTTGGATTACAAACTCTGTCCGTGCTGTCGTGAGCACATGGACCCCACAGGTGACGCCGATACGGTTTCGCTATCATGCGGACAAGATAGCGAAAGGCCCCTTAATACGGCGACATGGATACGAGGATCCTATAGATATGACGGGCCTTTTACCACGTACAAATAATACTAAACGACTTCCGATGCCGATCTATCGTCCGGCGGACGCTTGGTCCGAGAAGAAGGCACTGTTCGGCCAGAACGACTACATCGACATATTGGGCTCGGATAATCTACATCCCACGAGAATTCTCTACAACGTGCCCTCATGGTTGAGAGGTGTCAGCGGCAATGAATACCAGGTCTTATTGAGAAAGAGAAAAATGTGGGCAAAGGGTATATTTCCAATCGCGAGACCTACCAAATGGAGAGATCTGAACAAGAGAATAAGTTATCTCTATAAGTACTTGAACCGCAAAACTAAGCAAAAATAAATCAAATTAGGTTTACGTTCTGATATAAACACGCGTAATTAAATTCCAATTTAATTCTCAAGTGCAATCGCTGCGTTTTCTTTATTCTTACTCAATTAGTTTCTAAATATTCTACCAAGTTCTTACGACGTTCGTTTTAGGTGATGCAATTACTGCATACATTAGTTAACGATTTACTGCTTATAATAACAATTATAAAAAATATAAAATAATGAATTTGTTTATTGACAAATAATTATCCATCGGATATACGATTATTTCACAACATTGAAGAACGCAAATACTTTTCTCGCTGAAACGCGGATTTTCATTTCGTAGAAAGAGGGATACATGTGTCATGGCCATGTATCGTATATGTACATAGTCACAATTGGTATGTTAACGTCTAACGGTTCAATATACGTGGTCTGTTTAAAAAGTAATAAGACTAAATTTTTTTCTCAATAATTAGTAACACTGTAAAAATGAGACTGCGGTAGATCGAGAGCTACAGTCATACTCTACTTTCAGATAAAATTTCAATTTGATAACATTAACATATGTGATTCTATAATCATTTGTATAGCTGTATGTTTGAGTGATGCATCACGAAAATGGTACACAAGAAAATCAAGCAGCGTTATGCGACCAAATTCTATGTCAAACTCCAGGACAATGCGATAGAAACATTTAAGAAGTTGAAACTGACTTACAAAGATCAAGTTCTTTCCCGGCACAAGGCATTTTTATATGATGGTGAAATTGTGCAGATGAATCCCGTTCTGTACCACCAATGACAAACAATTTAGTGATTTAAGGTAAAGATATCAATACCCAATACCCGGACACTTAAGCATAGGAAATGTACTAATACCCTGGACACGTATCTGTGTCTGGATACCTTTAAAAAAATATAAATTTATGAAAATAAACGTTTGGATATTATAACTGAAGTTTCAAACTACAAGAAAAAATACTTTTATCTTTGATTTTAATTCGCGTTATACTTATAAATAATAAAGGTGTCCGGATATAGGTATATGTCTGGGTATTGGTACCTTTACCTTAAATTTAATTTAATTGATCACCAATCATTCTCACTGTCAACTTTTTAAATATTTGTCATGTTATCCTGTTTGACAAAGAATTTGCTGTGTCAAACTTCGCATAATGCTGCTCGATTTTCTTGTGTTCCATTTTCGTAACGTGTCACCCAAACATACAGTTATCAAATGATTGTAGAATCACACATGTTAATGCTATCAAATTGAAATTTTAACTAAAGATAGAGTATGAATGTAACTCTCGATCTACTGCAGTCTCGTTTTTACAGTGTTATCAGTTATTGACAAAAAAATTCAGTCTCATTACTTTTTAAACAGACCACGTATATTGTGAAATGGTCGCGAAACAGAACGCGTCCGAAGTAGTCTTCCTGATTAACTATTGTCAAGAAATTGAGTATTGTCCATTCTCTTAACAAAATAGTCACGATTAACCAATATTATCACGATCGTAAGCTTTGACAATAGCTGATTAAGAAAACTTTGAATGCACTTATTATGCGTTTTGTGGCATTTTGACAGTGATGTCTTGAAAACTCGTATTCAGCACATATCTCTTTTTTTGTAAGTTATATATTATAAATTCCTTGCTAGAAGTTCGTCCTGGTAATTAATTACACGATATATTCACACTGTGCCACTGCAGATACTATATATATATATATATATATATATATATATATATATATATAATATTTTTAAAATACTATCTTAAAAGCCTTGTAGAGGCACACTTTTATACAGAAACTAGTATCTGTACACATATCTGATCACTTGAAAGTATTCCTTCCTTTTAAGTGTGTACATAAATTAATGGCAGTTACTCAAACTCGCAAAATCTTGCTTGGAGGAACGGTTATTATCGAACTAACAATGTAAGGAAAAAAAAACGAAAATAAGAGTTCATAAATGATTCTGCAAGAAGGACAACAGGGTCGTTTCATAATGTTTGCTGGCATCCAGGCTTCTCAGACTATGCCTCTCGTTAGGATAAACTTGCAGCTGATACGGTTTACCGATCTTCACAAGAGCATTGATCAACTGGCTAGTGTGGTAGAAATGTACATTTTCGTCTATGAGACCGTGAATGATCAGCAAACGGTTCTCTTCGTCGGGAAACTTGTTTACATATGTCAGCACCGATCCAGCCATATAACCGTGAAGATTGTTCTGTGGCAGATCCATGTAACGCTCGGTATATCCGGTATCGTAAAAGTTCCACGAGGTAACCGGAGCACCAGCAATGGCCAGCTGCGAATCGCAACGAGGATATTTTTTAAACTTTAAAAAAATGTACTGTGCGGCAAGCATTAATTCGTGCGCACCTTGAATACGTCGGGATACTGTATCAAACCCATTAGACTTAAGTATCCACCGTAAGACCAGCCGTGAAGAGCCACTCGATTTAGATCAATGTATCCAGTAGTCTCTGTCAGCCATTTCAATACTTCAACTTGGTCGTTCAGCTCTACCGTTCCCATCCTACGTCGCAAATGACTCTCAAATACTAGACCTCTATGCTGCGATCCGCGAGAGTCTATTAAAACTACGCAATAGCCTTGAGCAGCCAACATGTGCATTCGTAAATGTCTTAAACCCTGCAGAGGATTAAACAATAAGTTTTTTCTTTACTTTACGTGATATATGCGTCCATACATTTTTGAAGTACACCTACTTTAAATGTGTTTGATACAAGTTGTACTTCGGGTCCTCCATAAACATTCAATATCGTGGGATACTTGATCCCAGGTTGAAAATTATGAGGCTTAAATATCATCGAATAGACCGTATCCCCCGACTTGATTTTATGCGTGAAAATCTCTGGCGCAAACAGTTCGGATTCGGGCACAGACGGTTCTAAGAGATAGCCTACAGGCGTGAGCGATATGCTCTCCACTGTCCAATCGGTTTGTGATATTTTAAATACCTGCAAAATTGACGTAATAAAACTTCCTAATCGTGTAAAATGAAATATTATTAGGCATGTCCCCCCCCCCCCCATCACAGGAACGTACTTGACAAGTAGGCAACGTTTTAATGGAACTATAAACAGTGACCAACATTGTACACTCTTTGTTAAAGTATATACTGTTGTAACTGTAGCCAGGCCGCGTCAGTAGCCGTATTTCTAGCGGCCGTCGCAGCGAAACCGCGTAAACGTGTTGCTCCAGTGGCCCTTCCCGTAACCCGCAGAAGTAGACGATAGAATTGACTTCATCAATCCATATTTTCTTCCCTAACACCTCCCAATCGCCCTGGGTCAGAGCTACCTTGGAAGTGATACGTGGTCGAAGAAATATACTATCCATTCTATCCAAAGGTTCTTCCACTCCGTTACTCAAGCCTATGTTGAAAATGTGTGTAAAAAAATAGCGGCAAGTAACGAAATATTGAAATGATTATAGTGATTTTATCATAAACCTGCTATACTGGACGTTATAAGATACAAATGTCGGAACTCGGATTCCTCGCTTCCCCAGATAAATTTGACTTCGTTCGCGTCGTCGGACTTTAAGAAGTACAATAGATCGTTGACGTTGATCCAAATCGGGCTCTGCTCCGAGTATATCACTTGAACGTTCGGTGACGTGGGGGTGAAATGGTTTTCCGTATTGTACGTGTTCGGTGGTGGTTCGCAAAAGTTGTCTATCGACAACAGGACCAACTCGAGTTTCTGCTGCTTTCTATCCAGCAGTTGCACCCAGATGCTACATTTTAACAAAGTAACATTATCGACTCCTATTAATACAAGCTCTCGCGTGTATTGTTTAATTACGCCTCGAACTTACTATTGAGCATCCGGAGTCCATCCGACTCTCACCATGTATTCCATCCATGGGAACATGATGTGAAGTGGATACTGCAGCTCTAGTATTTCTATATCGACGATATGCAACGACTCTGTCAGACGAAATTGCACCATTTTCAAGTTACTCCTAGCGTTCGGCATACCAGCTCTAGGAAATCTAAATTCGTCCACCTCATCGGAATTCGACGAGGGGAAGCAATATATCTTGACATCGCTCTCGTCCACTTCTTCGTATACTATCCTGTAGATTCCGTCAAACATGGACTTTGGTTGCCACCAGTAGCCGATATACCTGTGGTAGGTAAAACTAATGTCTTAATTTTCGCGCTTTTAGTATACGAGGATTTAACAATAAATAGATCAACCTTGTGAATTCCTCCTGCATGACGTAGGAAGGAGTTCCGGCGGTGAGCGGATCGTCCACGAGACTTCTGCCTCCTTTCCTAGCATGAGTCAATCGAACCGAGGAGCCTGTGATACTATGAGACAGGTATAGATCCCCTGAACATGTGTGGGCAATCAAAGCATTGTTCCAGGGACAGATCTGAGGACACAGCTTTGCCCCAGTCGTCGACATTCTGATTTCTGATGGAAAGAGGGGTCCAGGCTGATGGAAAAACACATAGATCAAATACTTTCTTTCACTAACCCACGATAATATTCTGATATTACCATAAATCCAGTATCTACACATTGATAAAGACTGCTGGCAGCTGGAAAAACTAATTTTCCACTCTCCGCGTGGATCTCGTAACTGGTTATACCCCACGTAGCGAGTCTTTTCCTTTCCCACAACAGTTGTTCCTCCTTCGACAGTCTGTTCGCACTCGATACGCTAAAATTATCGCATGACAGACTTAGGTACTCTTGGATAATACAACGGAGCGCATCAAACGCCTCGGTCTATGGTGGAGTTTACCTTTGAAAATTCGCCTCTATGACGGGTTGCCAGTGCAGTCGGTAGCCGTTGGCGTGATCCGCGTGCGCGATATCTACGTACAGAAGAGTGGTCTCCCAGCCGTTACTCGGCGTGCTTAAGAAATAGATTCTAGTCCTGCAAAAGAGAAGTGTCAATGAATCGTTAATCTCAACACGACGCGACAAGCGATCCCGAAGGTACGTCGCGCGTTTTCCTCACCGGCCGTCCGGAAGCGAGCGGAAAGTTATAGAGCCCGGCACGGATCCGGCCGACACGCCGGACAGCTTCCTCCTGAGATCGCTAACGACGGCGCGGAGCTCGGACCAGGACTTCCGCGGCACCGTGCTGTCGGGAACGGCCTGCTCCCCCGTCGTCTCGTTGCCCGTGGTATCCATATTCTCCATACGTTGCCGGCGACCTTTCCGCGAAGTCATTCGTCTCCTAGCGAGCACCTCCGCGGCCGTCTCGGCGCGGTCATATCGACGCGGAGTAGGCGTACGACGGGCACGAAGGTACGCGGGGGCGACAAGTATCGCGGAGCGATTTCCGCGACGACGATCCACGGATGACACGCACGACGTACTGCGCGCGCGACCGCCGCGACCACGCACGCAGCGGACCAGCGGACGCAGACGTGAGACGTGCAGAGCGAGCGAGCGAGTGGGAGAGACAGAGAGTGAGAGAGAGATATGCTTTATTTTTAGGTTATGCACCGTCCGCGCCACCACGGCCGCGACGGAGACTCCTGGCTCACTTTCACCAGTTTCACCTTCTCCCCGGCCCTGGCCTCGCTCGGCAGGGACGGCAGGCTCGGCTTCTCGGCGGTCTCTCCCTCCTCCCAACGTCGCGCGACATTAATTTCCCAAAATCGCGCGCACTCACACCACCGCAACCACGACACCGCCACCCCGTCACCGCCACCGCAAGACACCGCCAGACCGTCAAGACCACCACCATGGACTGACCAGGACCAGATCAGCCTGACGCCGACGGCCTGACCAGCAGCAGCACCACCACCACTGCCGCCGCTGCCGCGATTCTGTCGCGGCTCCACGTGCCGAGAGTTCGCCGCGAGTGCCAGAGATTCCGACCGAATAGAAACCATCAGCCGAACGCTCGCACGTGACAGCGGCTCTCTTTCGTCGTTATCGTCGACGGCTATCCGATGACTGATGGCACATGCCCGCGAATGTCCGCGATGCGGTAACTGGTGAAAGAGGTACGGTTCACATGCGTGTCGCGCACACCGCACACGTGTGCTCCGTACGTCAAACGTCAGCCGCGTCGCGTGCCGCTGGCCGCGTCGCCGCGATGCATCGTGCTCTCCGCCCCCTCCCCCTCATCCCCCCGGCCTCGCCCGTCGTCACGCGGGACGAGGAACTCCTGCCCCGCCTCCGTGATCGTCGTCTCGAAAGGATTACGTTGGAATTTAATTACGCCAGATTGTCCAACACATTTTTATTGTCGGTGTCTCACGTTCCTGCGAATTGGCGACCGAAAGCTGCGCACCCTTCAGTTAATTAATCGTATATTAATCTGCATTGGTTTGTCATTAGGGTTTCCGAATTCAACGGATAATCCGTATGGATTTGAGGTCACACTTAATAATGTATATCAAAGCGCATTGGATTACATATGCGCTCGATTGCGTGTCAGCGTATCTTCGAATAAACTCTTTTATGTTTGATAATAATAAAATGTTTATGTAAAATTTGGAGATATCGGCGAATCGGCGTTGTCTTTGCGCTATTACGTTATGTAAGTCCCGCAGATTTTGCAAACGCGGATTATAATTTATACTTTCATGTATAACGCTTGCTGAAGATTTCACTTAACTTTGGATTGTGAAAAGAAAAATAACGTCGTTAAGAGTGTCTTTTTAAATCAAAATTTAATAAATTCCATTTTTTTTCAGGATATCCTTGAAACCTGTACACGTTTGAGATAATCTTACATGATTCTTAGAAAAACGATGGCAATTATTTTGATTAAATTTAAAGTCTGAGAGCCTCGAATCGTGACGCTTATAATAAAATTGAAGAGAACAATGGCGCTTTCTTTCTAATTTAATGGAAGTTTGTGGTAAGTAGTTGATGGAACGGGGCATGAATTTGCAATGTGCGTTCACGTGCTCCGCTTAACTTTCGGTTATGAAAAGGAAAATAACGTCTCGTTGAGAATATCCTTTTTAATAGAAATTTTACGAATTCTATTTTTGCGGAAGACGTTCAAACTTTGACTTGAAAACGACGGCAGTTATCCTTAATCGAATTAAAATTCTGAGCGCTTTGTGGTAATAAATTTCAGGACAATGGAGCTTTCTTTCTAATTTAATGGAACGTGATAGCTGGTAGAAAACGGTATGAATTCGCAACGTATATACATACGTTTGTAGGGGAGAAAAAAATTCCCGAGGAGAGCAAACATACGTGCTCGTTCGTCGCAGTCACGTTCCCGTTGTTCTTGCATATTTTAATAGCTCCTCGCCGCGGTCGTCGCGACGTCTGTTTTTGTCCTTGCGTCGTCCCTGAATAATTTTCCTCGTCGTCGTCGTCGTCGTCGTCAGTAAAAGACTCCTTCACAATTACGTAAAAAATCCAATTGGTAATGCCATATTAATTCTACGTGGCTCGAAACGAGAGAGACTTTTTTTCTCGAACGAGAGGAAACGCGACCGATCTTCCACGTGATCGGCCGTGGAAAATAGACGCTTTCACGATCGTAGGGTGGTTTATTCCCGAGAATATTTACGAGAGAAAATTCTCGGGCGTTATGTTTTTCATAAATCTATCTAGGGTATCCAAGGTATCTAACCAGGTATCCGGGTCGCTATTTATGGGCTGTACTTCGATTCGAATACGACAATAAATACTGGCGAGCCGACCGCGAAATGCTCGCAACGTACGTATATTCACGCTGATCTTTTTCGTTTTAGAATTAATTATTAATAAGCATCTATATTTCATTTGTGGACACGCAAGTCGCGAGTTAGTTCAACAAAACTAATTTGGTCAAATTCGCTTCATAAAAAGAACCATTATTTTCAATTTTTTTTCTTCTAAATATATCTCTTATCTCCACAATACTTCGTCATGTTGCAATTTTGAGATGTTTATAAGATCAAGATTGTAAAAAAAGCTATTTTAATAATATTTAATAATACCTTTATTATGCTATATAGCTGTGTTATAATCCGAATTTAGAATAAAATATATCATTAGAACTTGTAGGTTTTAAAAAGACGTTATCGTGAAGTTTAATGAAATTTAATGCAATTTTCATGATTAAATATCCACGGCGGCGGCGAATTATACCCACCTGCCCTCCAACCATTACATGCGAGATTACATGTACACTCACTTACAATTAGACAAAAATAAGCTTCATACTTATACGAAAATAAATTTCTGAACTCTGTCAGTTTTACCTCCGAATCCGATAATATTTTAGGTTCTGAAGTTCTGCGGCAACTGAACTATTTTAGGAGGTTGTACTCACTGATACTTTTTATACCACACGGAAAATAAAATTAGCTACCGTAGCAAAACCTTTTGCTACTATTGCTAAAAATATAGTTCTCGCAGCAAAAAAATGTTAGTTGTCCATATTTTACGACTTCTTTTTTTTCGTGCAGGAGTGTAAAAACAGTAACATATTTCAATTTCAGTCAAATTAACCGAAAACCATTTTTTCATTCCAAATATGTGAGGGGGCCTATTAAAATTTTTAGGCTGCTTAGTACAAGAAAGTGTTTGTGTTACGTAATATTTACAACCATGATGTATCGGATATTTCGCGGGATTGCTGTGTGCTGTGTGTATATGAATCTTATGCGTCTTAAAATATTTATCTATGAAATTCTTCATTACTTGAAGTAAAAAAAAATATATTTCTATCATTTTCTGTATTCAAACTTAAAAAAAAAGATAAGTGATCCTCTCCTTTTGAGGAAATAACGCGCTCGTTCGTATAATATGGTTTCTCTTCTACATGTTGATAATAATTTTGACGATAAAGAAATGTTAGAAAAACCAACAAGATAAATATTAGGAAGGAGTGGGCGCATGTGTATAGAATGGTTCGACAAGTATCAAAACTATGCAACAGTTTTATCGTGAACGTGCAAGTTACACGTGTATACGCTGCGAACACGTGCGAGTCAACTTCTCGACAGAAGAGGCACGATTAACAAACGAGGAATGCGTAATTTCTCTGACGAAGCACATATTCGGTATATTTTGTCAGCGTTCGTTTTGTGTATACACACATTTCAGTTTGTGTATACTATATATATTGATATCGAAATTTGTTCGCCCCACGTCGGCGCGTCGCGTCGTCGCAAGAGTGACGTAACAATCTAAACAGCTCATTCCGGGTAAGCAAAGGATTATATTTCTTCCCTTCATCAATTTATGTCACACGTGGTATTTATTCATGTACGACAGTGTAATGAACAAATTATTTAGTTCCGGCGTAAAGATCCACGGGTGACTAAATACAAATATTTGATCAATTTGAATGATGATTATACGTAAGCGAAAATTATGTTCTGCTCTTGTAACAATGTCAAACTAAATTAGAGATTCGACACGATGATGCCAATATATGTACGTCGTATGTCGAGCAATCTTTTTTTTAATGTTTATGCGGGTATCTTCAATAAATTACCTCTGTCTACGTTTTCGCAGTTTGCTTTATTCAGATCTTTTTTACAGAAATGTTCGGTGGTTCAGGATTATCAAGATGTGGCTACAAAGCCACGAGATCCATGCTGTTTACGCTCGAAGGTCTTAAGAAAAATTGGGAGGTGAGCCACATTAATGCGACTCACGTTGATCAATCGTTAATTTGAAGGGAAAACATTACATATATAATAAATTAGGTTAATATTAAAGAGATATGACGCACGAAAAAGCTGCCCTTTTTTCCTTTCCCTCAATACGCCATCTACATCGACGCGTATTAAAAAAACATTTGTAAAATACTAAATATTTGAAAGGTACAGACAAATAATTACGTTTTATATGAAAAAAGCGAAATTGTATATTCACAAGCTTATACGCTTTTTCATTTTAATTTTTTGAAAATTTTATATCATAAAATATCAAAATATATTAAAAATGAAAATATCATTGATAACAATTACATCAGCACCATCAGCATTTTCAATATATGAATCTCACTCAGGTTAATGATTTCATCCTTTTATCGATTCCATGTTGTTAACCGTATGCATTCGCGCGACGAAAATTATAATTATTCACTTACCTTAAAAACTTTTCTTTCATTGGAAGATAGGAACAGTTGGATGTCTCTGGATTTACTCTCATTGTCAGCGAAATTTAGTCGCAAGCACGTAATGTATATTGTCCGCTCGCAAAACTGTTTCCCCTGTGTTAAATTTTTATTCCGAAGGCTTTACTACTCCGCGCGTAGCGGGATCGAATGTCTCGTGGATGGCCTACACGTAGGCACAGTTTTCCGACAGGCCTACGCCATCAACCCCCTTCTCACGTCCCAGCCACCCTCGGCAACCGTTCGTCCGAGATAGTCTGCACGAGACCCATATATTTTCTGAGATACGTTCCGGCGCGGCGGTGCGAAGCA